GGCTGGGGCTCTCTGCTTGCCCCCGCAGGTACCAGCGGAAGGACCAGTACCAGGACGTGAGCCGCACGCTCTGCCAGCCCCAGACCAAGATGGAGCTGGAGACGCAGCACTTCTACGTGGACGTGTCCACCCTGTCCCTGAGGAACACCTCCTACAAGCTGCGAGTCACCCGCGTGGAGAACTTTGTGCTGCGGTGAGGGCAGCAAAGCTGCGGCGTGCCCAGTGCCCCATCTCCTGGGTCTCTGATCCCCCTGCCCACCACCTTCCCAGTGCGGGAAGTATGCCCTGCTCCTGCAGCGGGGCAGGCAGGGCACCAGGAGCATCCCCCTCGCTAGCGCTGATCCTTTTCTCTCTGCAGAACGGACGAACGGTTCAGCTTCAACGCAACGGCAGCCCAGCCGCAGGTGAGGGGCTGGCAGCTAGGGGAGGGCTGAGCGCAGCGTCATGGCTGGACTGGGGTGCTGCTCGCCAGGAGGCTGGCGTGACCCAGGGGAGGCGGGTGCGCTCGGGGCCTGCCCCAGGGAGGAGAGCGCAGTCGCTGTGGTATAACATGCCCTTCCTCCTCCCAGTACTTCAAGTACGAGTTCTCCGAGGGAGTGGACTCGGTGATTGTGAAAGTGACCTCAGCCATGGCTTTTCCCTGCTCTGTCATCTCCATCCAGGACATCCTGGTAGGTTTGGGCAGCCAGGTCATGCTGGCCTCGGCCAGCGCGCACACCCCATGATGCTCGGTGGGGCTGATGGGTCCATTCCCTCCGCTTCCCGCAGTGCCCCGTCTACGACTTGGACAACAACGTGGCCTTCATCGGGATGTACCAGACCATGACGAAGAAGGCAGCCATCACAGTGCAGGTGGGGCTCGCGCCGACGCTGGCAGCTGGTGTCGGGTAGCGCCAATTAGCAGAGGCTGCAGATGTTACTGCCGCAGGGCTGAGTGCTGTGTTGCAGCAGTGCATCGGGGCTGGCTGGCAGCCCGCCTGCCGGCCCCACAGCCCGGGCTGGGCGGGGCCACCTCACTCCCCCAGTCCCGCAGGGAGCCTCGGGGCCCGCGTGCATCCTGGCTGCTCAGGGCAGTGTGGGGGACCCCAGGCTCTGCTCTACTGACCCTCCTCTCTTGCCCTCGGGGACGGGCACCACAGAAGAAGGATTTCCCCAGCAACAGCTTCTACGTGGTGGTGGTGGTGAAGACCGAGGACGAGGCGTGCGGAGGAGCCCTGCCCTACTACCCCTTCTCCAAAGGTACCCCCGGGCACCCTCGTGGGGCGTGGGGTCGGGGGAAGCACCTGCCCACGAGCAGGTCCTTTTCCACAGGGGCTGGGATGAGGAACGGTGTCCACAGAGGACTGAGCCCACACCAGGGATGAGAGAGGACTCCCCTGGCCTAGCAAGCTCCCCTGAGCCAGCAGAGTGATCACTGCCCTTTTGTTCTTCCAGATGAACCAATAGATCAAGGCAACCGGCAGAAGACACTGGAGGTGGTGGTATCACCTGCCATAACCTGTAAGCCGGGGTGGGAGATTGCTTGAGGGGCCATCCCGGCTGGGGAGCCCCGAGGCCGGAGGGCCGGCCACCCTGTCCCCCCTGGGCTGAGCCCGCGGGTGCTGTGCCCTCCCTGCCGTGCTCGCAGCAATGCTTGCCTGGCGGCACTGTCCCTGTGCCCCCCTCACGAAACGGGGCAATGCTGGAGCCTGCGCCACCCAGACACCCCTGGCTCCCCGCACCGCAACCACTCTGCAGCTCCGTGCTCACAAGTGCTTCCTTTGGCAGCCAGCAGCAGAGGAAGAAGGGGCTCCTGGCGGCCATGGACTCGCCCACGCTGGACACAGGTGAGGGGTTGGAGGCAGCCACCTGCAGTGGGGGCTGCTGAGGGCACAGGGAGGTGTCTGGTGGGATGGTCCACTAGGGGGATTTGGGGGTTATTTTGCCCTCTCTAGCCCTGTGCCAAGCCCTCTGTTATGCAGGGTTTTCCCCGCTGTTGTCCTGAGCCCCGCTTGTCCTCTGGCATTGTGCAGATTGCACCCCAATGCCCTATGGCATTTCCCTGGGCAGAGCGCTCCTCGCCAGCCCGCTGCTCCAGCAGCGATGCCGGCAGAGCAGTGTGTCTCGCTCGGCCCGGTGTGCTCCTAGCGAGGTGGCGGAGGGCCAGCCCTGGTCACCGTGAAAGACCCTTTCCCGTGGAGCGCTGAGGAGGAAGGACAGGAATGTCCTGGGGTTTGGGCTTTGCCCCTCGGGGTTGACGTGACTGTGGCTGGGGTGTCTGACCAAGTCTCTCTCTCCTTCTCTCTTTGCATGGGTCTCTGGGGCCCCCCCCTCCCCCCAGCGTCTTTATTGGGTAAGCACCAGCATTTGCCATCTCCTTGGCTGCACGCTCCTTCCCGTGTCCATGCCTCCCACATCTCCGCAGCACAGCCTGCGCGTACCGCTGCTGGGGCTGAGGCACCACTCCCCATGCTTGCCCTGACACCAGGTGTGTGGGCAGCTGCCACCAGCTGATGGGGCTGAGGGTCCCCTCCTGTCTTGCAGGGCACAGCCGGAGCATCCCCGACTCCTTCCTGGGGCATGCCCCCTACGACAGCTATGGTTACGGCTCCTTCGGTGAGTGCGGAATGCCCTCCTCTGCATCTCTGCCTGCCGGGGCCAGCAGGCACACAGCATTGCCCCCCCGTCTGACTGTCCCTGCAGAGAACGGCTCCAGCGCCAGCACTGAGGGCATCACGGACAGCATGGGCTCCACAGAAGTCTCCTACGGATACGCGGGTGAGTCCTGAGGCAGCAGCGTGCTGCTCAGCCGGCATGGCCATGGGGAGCCCAGCATCCAGGCAGCGCGAGGCTCCCTTGATGATGTTGCGTGGGGGCGGCTAACAGGGAGCGATGCTGCTGGGAGGACTCTGCTCAGCCCCTCGCCCCCATCTGGAAAGAGGACCCCCCCGCCAGCCTTGCCCACGTTGCGGGCCCGTAGCAGGGTCTCGAGTTGGGCCTTCCCAGCTGGCAGAGGAGAGATGTGCCAGGGAAGCTCCCAGGGTGCCCGAGAGCAGGGCTCTGTGCCCCGTCCTGCTCCAATAACTCTTACTTTCCTTTAAAGGGCAGGACCAGTTCAAGCGACGCGTTCCCACCGCCCAGATGAGGCAGCTGTGCATTGCTATGGGTAGATGTTGGTACTGCGCAGAGAGGGCTCTAATCAATCCAATCTGCCCTACCCCAGGCTTTGCTCCCGGGGATGCAGACCCAGGCATGCCCTTAGCAGCTGTGCTCCCTTTTCCCCTGCCAGGAGTGAGGCAAGGAGAGCCGCTGGCCCGCCTCTGCCCCAGGGTGGGGAAACGGGCCCTACCTCTGTGGGGCGAACCCAGCAGCCCATCCCTTGGCAAGCACAGGGGCACGAGCGCAATGCACCAGCCCAGCCATGCATGGCCCAGCACATTCATTGCACCTGCAGAGCAAAGCCAGTGCCTGGGGCTGCAGTCTGCCCAGCAGCAGCATGTGGTGCAGCTCAGTGCACAGTGGTCAGTGCCTTGTGCCATCCCTGGGCGTGAGCTGCATCCCTCTGCACTCAGCTGTGGCCCATCCGTGGGGCGAGTCGGAAGGGAGGTGCTGGCATAATTCTTGAGTGATTGAGGTCTGCAGGCATAGCCGAACGCGGACGGGGCTGCGGGGTGGGGGCGGGCAGGGGAGGGCTCGGGCTGGCAGGATGGACGAGCCCGTGGCACCACTGACGTCCCCCTGCTCGGTCCCAGGGGACCGGTCACTGGAGAACGTGGCCAGCCGGCCCCGCCTGGACTCACTCAGCTCTGTGGAGGAGGACGACTACGACACGCTGGCCGACATCAACTACGACAAGAACGTCATCCGCACCAAGGTGCGTCCCTGCCTAGGCTGGGCCGTGGGGGAGTGCAGTGGGGAGAAACACCTCTATCGCAGGGCAGCGCTGGTGTTTGATGGGTCCCGGGGAAAGCTCGCACTGAGCCTGGGTTGCCTGTGCCAGCCCAGGATGTGCTGGTGGGGCCGAGCTGGTCCTGTGGGTTAGGTCTGGACCCCTCTGACCCTGCCTCTCCTTTTTTTTTCAGCAATACCTCTATGTGGCCGACCTGGCACGGAAGGACAAGCGGGTCCTGCGGAAGAAATACCAGATCTACTTCTGGTGAGGAGGGGATGCAGGTGGGCGGGAGGACCTGGGCCGGCATCCCATCGGTGCCCGTCCCGTGGTCCTGTGGCAGGGCACGTGGGGACGCTGCTGACGCTGCCCTGCCTCTCCCAGGACACCATTGCTGTCTTCTATGCACTCCCTGTCATCCAGCTTGTCATCACCTACCAGACGGTAAGTGGGGCCCCGGGTCCCTCTCCAGCCCCTGCCCAGGGACGGCTGCGCTGGCAACGTGCCCTGTCCCTGGGCATCCCGCAGGATGACTGCGCTCTGCCGTGGGGCCCTAGCAGGGCCCTGCTGCCTCCTGCTCTTACTGTGCCCCTGCATGCAGGTGGTGAACGTCACTGGCAACCAGGACATCTGCTACTACAACTTTCTGTGCGCCCACCCACTGGGGAACCTCAGGTAGGCACGGCCGGGAGGCAGGCACAGCCGGGAGGCAGGCACGGCCGGGAGGCAGGCAGCGCATGACGGCCGAGGCTCCCCTTCATGCCCGGGATGGGAATGGGGCAGCCCAGGGAGGGAGAGGGGGCCAAGGCAGGCTGTGGGGGGATGTCTGCCCCGTGGTGTGACGGGCCACACTGCCTCCTGCCAGCGCCTTCAACAACATCCTCAGCAACCTGGGCTACATCCTGCTGGGCTTGCTCTTCCTGCTCATCATCCTGCAGCGGGAGATCAACTACAACCGGGCACTCATGCGCAGCGACACACATGCCCTGGTAAGGGACGCGCTGCTGCAGGGCTCCCCTTCCCTGGGGAGGGCTCTCACCCCTGGCGGCGTGCACTGCAGGTGCCTCTTCCCCTCCTCTGTTGCCCCGCAGGAGTGTGGCATCCCCAAGCACTTTGGGCTCTTCTATGCCATGGGCACTGCCCTCATGATGGAGGGGCTGCTCAGCGCCTGCTATCACGTCTGCCCCAACTACACCAACTTCCAGTTTGGTAAGTGCTGCCCTGGACCCCCTAGCTGCTTGCGCCTCAGCTGCCTCCAGCAGCCCCGCTCAGCGCTCCCGCTCCCGCAGACACCTCCTTCATGTACATGATCGCCGGGCTCTGCATGCTGAAGCTCTACCAGAAGCGCCACCCAGACATCAACGCCAGCGCCTACAGCGCCTACGCCTGCCTGGCCATCGTCATCTTCTTCTCTGTCGTTGGCGTGGTGAGCGCAGCTGGGGCATAGGATGGGCTGGTGTTGGTGGCCGCTTGCCCCAGGCTGCTGCAAGCCACCGCCTCCACGTGCGCTGCACCGGGGCTGTGCTTGGCTCAGCCCACTCTCCCCCCAGGTCTTCGGCAAAGGCAACACGGCCTTCTGGATCGTCTTCTCTGTCATCCACATCACGGCCACCCTGCTGCTGAGCACCCAGCTCTACTACATGGGGCGCTGGAAGCTGGGTGAGGGCTGCGGCTGGGGCTGTGTGGGGTGGGCTGCTGCCAGGCAGACGGGCAGTGAGGGGGGATGAGCCCCCTGCCCTCCTCCTCCGCACGGCACAGGGACTCTGTCCAGCGGCCCCACCAGCTCTGCCTCCCTGTCTCTCCCTGCAGACTCGGGCATCCTGCGCCGGATCGTGCACGTGCTGTACACGGACTGCGTCCGGCAGTGCAGTGGGCCCATGTACGTGGTGAGTGATTGCGCCTGGCGCAGGGAAAGGACCTTTGCTCCTCTGCGACTTTGGGGACGCCTGGCCAGCCCTGTCCTGGGTTGGGGCTTGCTGCCACTGAGCTCGCCCGCGACACCAGCCCAGGAGAGGGGCTGTGCTGAGACGCTGCTTTGCAGAGCTCCCTCCCAAAAGCGGCCGGCTGCCCGCGCAGGGCTCCGCCCCCTCACCCTCCCATTTCCTTTTGCAGGATCGAATGGTGCTCTTGGTCATGGGAAACATCATCAACTGGTCGCTGTAAGTGTGGAGCGGGCAGCGTACAAGGCCAGCTTGAGAGAGTGCCCTGCACTGCCTCCTCGAGCCCTGCTGCTGCCCCTGCCCTGCTCCTCTCAGCCCTCCCCTGCAGGCCCCTCAGCCAGGGCAGGGCTGGGCTGAGAGTACTCAGCTCGTGACAGCTGTGAGCCACACGCAGCAGATGCCCCCCTGTAGTCGCAGCACCCCGGGCCTCCCTGATGTCCTGGGGAGCAGCAGTCCCCAAAAGGGACAGTGGGGTGTGGGAGTGCGACGGGCAGGGGGACGCCCTGGGCTGAGCTGACCCTGCCGCCTCTTGCTGCCTCCCCAGTGCTGCCTATGGCCTCATTGTGCGCCCCAATGACTTCGCTTCCTACCTGCTGGCCATCGGCATCTGCAACCTCCTCCTCTACTTTGCCTTCTACATCATCATGAAGGTGCGGGCGAAGCCTCCCCGGCCCCTGGGCGGGCTTGGCGGGGGGCGGGGCGGGAGGGCAGGGTGGTGACGG